TCAAGTGTTACTGTCAAAACTGTTGTTAAACGACCGAAATTGGCATTTACTGTTTTCAGTGGGCCACCCTGTATATGAAACTCCCATCGGTTTGTGATTGCCAAACAGGGCAGTGGAAATTTCAAATTTGCAATTAAAATGAGTGAGATTTAAAACCCTCTTGATAAAAGAGACCGACCAATCTTTCCTTTTCTGTTTATTATGCAATGAAGTAGAAAATAAATCCAAAATGTAGGTACCTATCTTTGAGTAAGTTCAAACATATTTTACGTAGATGGGACCTTCTAGCATACTGTTAACTACCCCTCCCTCCCAAGTTTGATAAAGGAGGGCGTGGACTAATGAACTAGCGATATCGTCACGAAACTCTCACTCTTATCTTTCTATCTTACGGTATACAATGTGAGTCTCTAACTTGGAATAAATTCAATAAATCAAACATTTTTTTTAATATGCTCGGACCAAGTAGTATTTTAAATTGCGTTCTTTTCCATGTACCTAGGTAATTGGTAATAAAATGTTATACTTACAGCTTGTCCAAAAATGTGAGATATTATGTCATCGACTATTATTATCGAGGGGTGAACCACTGGTGAAGTATGGTGTACAAGTGTGATGAAGTCCGTGAAGTTCATATGAAGTTTTGGTGAAGTCCATGAAATATTGTTGAAGTGCGTGAAGTATTGGTGAAGTTAATGAAGTTTAAGCGAACTAGGTATTGGAAAAATGCATGAGGTTGTGGCGAAGTTTATAATCAAATCCGTTAACAAAAATCGTACGGTAGTTCAATTCACGGTCGTAACGACTATGTAAAATTCGAAGTAAAATTAAATAAATTTCTGCGAAATAAAACTGAAAGCATAAATTAAAAAATCTATGCTGAAAGGTAAGTTTTTTATCCGCAAAAGTATGGCATTTATTTATGAATGACTAACGATGCCCATTTCTACAAAACAAAAGGACAGTTACACAGGCGACAGACACCCTGATGAGATAGCGACTCGTAGACGTACTGATAGTCCTTGCGTTGTATTTATGTGTAGGTACAAATATCGTAAATTGTTTCCTTTTAAAAATTTAATAAATCCCGAATAAATCCTTTCCTTTATTACCATCAGGTTCAGGTAGCTAAATAACACTTCGATAACACTTTTATTAGGTATATTAAAATAAAATCGTCAGACCGAAAATTTGTCACGTGGATAGCGGCTTTTGTTTTCCTTAAAATTTCAGCACCCTCCACAACTTAGTACATCAGCCCCTTCCAAATCAAGTTTCTGGCCACGCCATTGAGTTATTTACGACTATAACGTCAATCCCGAGGTCAATACTATCCCACAAACAACACCATTAGCATAATTCTTGAAAATAATCCCCTAAAAATGCAACCTGTTGTAAAAGGATTAAGAGTTGCTTATTGGGTTCAGCCTGGTAATATGTTACAATACCTTTTACAAGACCTAAGCAATATTTTCCCGCGTATTTTGTTTGTTTGTTGAAATGAAATTTTTAAAAGAAGAATTGGACTTTTATATGGTCTAAAGAGCCAGATATCCAATCTGTTAATAAAAGATATATTTTAACACGACCCATTACATTAATAGGAAGTGAACCATTTCCAGGACTTTAGGACCATTCCCCTAAAAGTAATTCAAAACCGCAGAAGTGGGTCCGACGGACGGGCAAAACTCAAACAAAAGCACATTTTTTTTTAATTAATTAAAAAATGGATTCATTTCAATTTCGTCTATGTACTTACTATGTCTATGTGTAAACAAAGTATGTTTTTATTTTACTTTATATTACCGTTTCGTTTTTGTTATGCCTCTATTATCATTCATATCAATACATTCTACATCTTTTACTGCTTTGAGTGCTTTGTTTTAATTGCAAGAACTCTAGAAAAAAGGATGGGCAGTGCAAAATATCAGTGAAATTCATAAAGTATCAGTGAAGTCCGTGAAGTTTTTGGTGGAATACATGAAGTTTCGGTGAAGTATTGGTGAAGTCCGTGAAGTATTGATGAAGTCCGTGAAGTATTGGTGAAATACGTGAAGTATGAAGTTTGGTGTACACGATTTTGCCTAGCGATTTACCCCTCGATTATTATTTATCATATCTCAAATTTGGGACGCCCTGTGTACAATTATATTACATCAAAAATAGTGAAATTTAAAATACTTATCGACGTGTCCGAGCATATTTTTGAAAAAAAAACTTTCTTTGATTTAGTGAATTACTTCAAGTTAGAAACCCGTAGAAACCTCTATGTTCCTTCGGATTCTATCAGCGGACAAGAAATCAACGGGCGGACACACGGATTATTATTCAAAATTGAGAATTATTGTAGAGATGTAAATGTGGAAAAGAACCTCGAAAAGAACGATTCCTTCCTCGATTCCTTCTATACGACTTCTGCGTTTATTCTGTGCTTTCAGCTGCACGCCTCAATCGTATTTTCCACTTGCAGATCAATACAAAATAAAAAATCCCGATGAGTCGGAGACAAGTAAACTTCAACCAATTTCGATTGTCTTCCTTCTGACTTCCGTTTCTCTCTGTACTCTTGTGATCAAAGACTCGCTAAAAAAGCGGTAAGGGTGCTAGAATCACATTTCTCAAGCAGTCTCAAAACTTGGGGGTTAAACTGTCGGAAATGATACGGTCGCGTTTTCCCCATCCAATAGAAAATGCTTATACGACAAAAAGCGGCGCTTTTGGATTTTATCTTCGTTTCATTGAAAAATTGCAATAACGCACGTCTTTCATTTGAAATTTCATGAGACGACGTAAAAAAATCGAGAAAAAAATGTAGTGCCGCTAGACTACGCGGTGCTCGAGCTTTGTTTATCAGCAACTGCACTTAAAACTTTTTCAGTCGATTTTCGTGTAATTGAACTTTTGCCTGAACTGAAATAAAATTGACACGAACGGTCGTGATTTTATTGAACCGATATTCGCCACCCTTAAGCTGTACGAAATATTGAACAATATTGTCAAATATGAATGTAGCAGTGGCAAATTATCTCTGGGTTAATACGCTGTGTAATCTCCCTTGTAGGTACATCCAACATCATCTGCGAAAAGAAATGAATCCCATGTTTTGTACCCGGTGCATTTGCGTTGAGCCAAATATATCTGGTGATAGCGATAGCGGTGACCCAAACAAACATTTTTTCAAATAAACCGATTATCGCAAATGTTTTGTTTGGAGGATTCCCTTAAAAAAGTAGTTTCTCGAGAACCATAACAGTATCAAGAAGGATGGCACGTCTTTCGATAGGATATTAACCCTTTACGATTAAAAAAAACATTGCGAAATTCCTACCCCTAAACGTAGGTGAGAAAAAATTCTGATATCGTCTTTGAAATGAAAATGTTTAATATGCAACTGATATGACACTCAAAAAAATTCTTGACGGGACAATAATCAGAATTTCCTGTGTTTTCTTTGGGTATTTAACAAACAGTGCAGAACAAAAGATTAAAAAAGAATTGAAATTTTGGGGGACGTCAATTTCTTTGAAATACATGGTTTGGGTCCTTTTTATCACCAAAATTTTTTTACTCAACATCAATGTACTACCCGACCGTTTTTTCTTATAAATATTTTTCGGCTGGTTCATTGTTAAGTTACTTGAAAACTATTGGGCCAGCCCGCCCTCTATTTCTTTAAGGTAATTGACTAAACCAATCAATCAATTGACTTTTCTTACGTGATTTACAACCGTTTCTTTTGTATTCATCCGTCACACTGATTTTCATCATCTTTTACTTGAAGATTAAATCGACGTCTCTTCCATCGGATTTTGTTTAATGTCATAGCACGCATAACAGTTCAGAATATTTCAAAATTCCGATCAGATTTATACGTTTATAATCAGGTGCAATTTGTTTTTCATTGCATAAACATCTCAAACGATAGACGGTCACATTGCAGGATAAGATAAATATTTGTACTATCTTCAAAAGGTTTACATTAATTAATTATCATTGTCGTGACTGATTGGTATTGCTTATGGGGGTTAAAGCGGATGTTTATAATATCTATTACTAAAATGAGATTTGATCATAATAAAATACCTAAATTATCAAATAAACAAATTAATTGAAGAGGCACACCTTATTACGTTGCTGCCCCGATTAACCCCTGTGGGAAGAAAAATTTGGCGTAATGTATAGACAGCTCATGAAGTCCAAAGAGTGAAGTCTAGAAAATAACATAATATCCCTATCGTGACCGACTTTTGGTTTAATTGGTTGAGAGTAGCTACAAGATTTGAATTTTTTCATAACACACAAGGTGGCTTATTGGCCGTGCACTGAATCTTATACTATGTCCGAGACTATGTCCTTCTTTGATTAAATGGCTTCATAGTCTTTGAGAAATAACACATTTTTGAATTTTTTGATGGAAGTAGTATTTCGATTCGACATGCACACTAAATAATAATGACAAGTTTGCTTACTGTTTAGTACTGCAGTGGACAGGAATTTGTACCTAAAAATGTACCACATTTTTGGATTGACATTTTTGCCACGGTTATTTTGCTCCACACTTCATGTTGCTGTATCAGTTTATCTCTACAGGAAGTATGGCTCTGTTCCATTCGATTGGTACTTATAGGTATGTTCTTCATGCGCTGACGCAACAATGTCGTACCTTAATTGTGCTACTGTACATTCAGCTCTTCTAGTCATTGATGAATTAGCATTTGTGTGTAGACTTTGAAAATTGAAGGTACACACGAGGAAAATTTTAATTCGTTTTGTTACGTACCTAAGCACCTACATAAAAAATCGTACTTTCTGCTTGAAATGAGTACTTGCACTTTATGATCTCATACTGTTACCGTAAAATTTTGCGATATCTGGAAATTATGTGTCGTTTTTACCGAGTGACTCATTAATCGCGAATTTGCTACGTAGTCTGTTATAATTTCCCCAAGATGATGTGCGATTAATTACGTAAATAAATAACAATTAAATTATTGTTTCAGACAGAACTAAGTGAAAGGTTGCGATTACGAAGAGGGCGTGGTGACACAAGCGAAGATGATGAAGGTCTTCCTCGCAGCCCCTGCTGCAGTTCTCCTACCGCAACTGAAGGACTTCTTGAAAAGACTGTTAAAGTAAGTGTTTCAATTGTATACTTAATTAAGAATAGTTTGTGTGGGATTCAAGCAAAAATTGCGAAGGAATGCTCGTGATTCATTGTAGATATAGGTATACATGGTCATTGTGCGTCGTTATTAGACCGTTGATTCGTATGGCAAATGGTGTTAATTACCCACATTTACGAAACGCGAAAGAAACTCGATATTAACACAGAGTAAAATTGCCAGAACATCATGCGTTTGCCTCAATCCTCCGGAAACTGCATTAATTATAGTTTCGCTCTCACATATGCGTGAAGCTATTGCCTTCATCTGGGGTAACGAATCAATTCTATAGTACACAAACAAAGAAATAATGAACGATGCGGGTACCAGGTCTTTTAATCGCAACAGGAAGTGGGTATTCTCTAGTCGCTTTAAATGTGTAACATTCGATAACGTACAGCATTACAATCTGACCTACAGTTATCCGTTACCCTGATTGAGTGATATTGATGTTGGGGGTCCTCAAGAGAAAGTATTAGGTTCGTAACTTTTTATAATTTGGTCTCAAATTTGCAGTTCTTCTTAATTTTTTATTTAATTTAGCTTCTACATCTATAGCCTGTTGTGGAAGTGAACCGTGCATTTCCGAGTTCCGACCTTTAAGCTAGGGAAAGTGAAAACGAAATTTGACATTTTCAGATTTTCGGTGACATCTCGGTTATTTTCAAAGATTTTTCAAAAATTTCGAATGTTTTTTAGTCACAAATTTTTCTCCCATCTCTCACCGTTACCTAGAATTTGAAATATTACAAATGGATACCTATGGATCTCCAATTTGGATTTGTTCGTTCCCACTACGTTCACTTAAGAAAAAAGAATGTTTGAAAATTGTTTGGAAAAAACAACGCTTTTTGTATAAATTTTATTGGCATTACTTAAGGGATGATGTGTGTAGATTTAATATATCATATGTCGTGAGGAAAAAACCAGTTACATTTCTGGTGTTTCGGCCGAATCTTCTCCACAGACTTTGAGAACTTCAACGTACCAAGTCTGGTTCACTGTGGTGCCTTGGGGGAAGGTGCATATCAAAGGTTTCATTCGCACATTTTCCGAGTATAATATAAAATTTCACAGCAACTCTTTGCTCGTTCACTCAATCTAGAATTCCCAAACGAAAAAAACACACCTCACAAACAACCACGTAGCTCATCAACCAATAACAATAATATTTGCAATCAAAAAACTGTCTTGTAATCAGCTGATTTGTGCGAAGATGGTGACACTAAGCGGATTTCCCTGCAACTAACTGGGACCGAGCAAGTCAAGCAGTCTACGTATTTTTTGAACGGGTTAATGGCCTTTATGGGGGCGTGATTGGGTTAAGAAAACGAAGCCGATTGTCCCATTAGAACTATTTTGTAGGCGTGTTTGAAAATTAAAAAAGAGTAGGGACACGTTCAGGAGAGGTAGCGATAGGACATTCAGTTTTTGACCATCAGATCGTCAAGTTCGCGCTTCGAAATAATACTTTTTTCGAGCACTGCGCGTACAGCCATCAGCAGGTAAACCACGTTCAATTATTTACGTTTGAGCCTTGTAGGAGCTCAAGTAAATCCGTAATTAAAGTTAGTCTTCCGTTGGCCCAAACTCAAAAGGGCTATAAATAATCGAATTCGAAAAAACCTCGCAAATTTTCCGTACGGAAGTATTGTACGTGACGCATTTTAAAAGAAAACTACGGAAAGAAATCGCCTTAGTTACCTATAACGTGTACGGAAGTTTGTTTGTTGAGTAATACTAGAGGAATATTTAACGCAGTTGGTTACATCGCGAACGCAGGTTTGTTCGAAGGTAAAGTAACCTTGCGTTTCGTTAACCCCTTCTGAAAGGGTTAATGTGGAAATTCAGTAAAAATAAACTCTTTCGGTAAAACTAGCGTGCAGTAGTTTTAGCAATTACAACTATCGAAAAATTATAAGAGTACGAGCGAATTTTTTTTAATACAGAACAGAAACAGAACCGCATCGAATGACCTTGAACTTGGCGCATGCGCAGATTTTAATGTCAAAGTGCTTCCCTCCTGAAGTGGGTTCGGACGAACGGCCAGATGGGCGGACAAAGGGTAAACAATAGCACATTTTATTTAATAAGTAAAAAAATGCGCTAAAAATAAAAATTTCACTTTTATTGTAATGGATGCTGTGTGAGTCTGTAGTAGACACTATTTTTTAAAACTGATTTTCTTTAGTCCTTTAGGGGAGGGAATGGAGGGGGGCGTATAGAGCCCCAATTGGGAGTGTAATATTCTGAGGAAGTACCAATATAATCCGAAATGCAAGTCTAATTTCTCGGATATTGCAACAAATTGACATGTGAAAACCGGCACGGCACGGGAAATCGCAATTGCGTAGAATCCTACTAATGACTCAATTAAAAAAAACAACAGTGTTTACGATCGAACCACTGCGACGAATACAGACGCATGGGCCTAATGACGAAATATACTTACAAACAATTAAAAAAAATTGCCGCTCATTCACAATAGAAGTTTCTCTAATTACACGCACATGCAACTCATTCACTCGTAATTATTATAAACAAGGATATTGCAAAAATATCATAGGTTAACGCGCTTAATGTGAGAGTATGTGTAATTTAATTTAGTAACGCCGCTTAACAGTCTTTGAATTGAAAAAAAAATGAAAAAGAGGAGGTTAATAATTCAGCTTTTTTTTGTAATTAATTATAATAAATAAACATGGCTCACGGTCAAGTTCATTTGGCAAATTAAGACGGCTATTTTAACAGTACTGTGAAATAAACTAATTACATCTTAATTAATGCATTATTTTTTATAGTTTCATTCTTTTTTTGGAATAACAGAAAATTCTGTTACCAATGGTGGTATTTTTGTGATTTTAAAAATTTCCCACTCGACTATCTTCTCGTGTCGAATTGCATTAAAAATGTGTCAAGTGCTAAATACAGGGTGTCTTAACTTTTTTTGGAAAAATTCATTATAAAAGTTTACCACGAGGGTGTTTTTTTAAATCTATTTCTTGAGAACCTTGTTCAAAAGTTTCAGCAGTTTGAGAGATTGGTACATTGTCTACAGTTACGATAAGCTATGGGGTAGAAAATATCATATGTGAGTAAGGTAATAAATAATAAGAATTAAGGGCTTGATTTAATTATGCAAAAGTTCTTGCCCTTTTACATGACATTTTCCTAAATTTCCCTGCAAGTAGGTAACCCATTTTATCTTAATGAGAATGTCATAAATGTAGGTTATTATTCAGTTGTTCCCTTTCGTGTCGTAATATTGCTAGTTCAAGGTAGTTTTTATAGGATTATAATTTATAAGGTATTAAGCTATTTATACTCGCGTTTACGTGTAGGTAACATAGTTTACATGACCTGACGTGATTGGACCAAAAACAATTCGTGTTAAAATTGTGCCAGATTGCACGATCGATGTTAGATATCCATATTTAAATGCGTACTTTTATAAGCTGATATTTGTCCACAGACTATTTTTCACGCGAACCTTTTATGCGAATTTTGTAGTTTGCCACTTATTATTTTCAATTAACCCCACTTAAGTGTGCTTTTGCTGCATGTATCAAGAATTCAGTATAGAATTAAAAATCAGGCGTAACAAATTATTTTTAACCAATTCATTTTCAGTCAAAAGGTTATGTCCCTCCGCTAGTTACAGTCTAGACTTCCTATACATTTATTTGATCCTCATTGGTCCTAGCCTTCGTACTGGGATAATGCTGCGCAAGAGGTAAGAGGGTTGTTTTTCCGAATCAACTTGTCATGCTGGTGCTATAAAACGCTTAACATGTTGCTGTTGTGTGCAATGGTATGCAGTCACTACACCTCCAAACTAGCTTAAAGCAAATAAAAATTGAAACTTTTCATTTGAAATTTTTCAATTTTAAGAGATTCGGTGGCTTTGATCGACTTGGCACGAACAAATACACAAGATTGGTAATGACAAACATTTATTCCGAAACAGAAGAGAGAAATATAACAAAATCCCTGAAAGAAAGAAAACCTTACAACGCTTGTTTACCCCGTACGCAGGCGACTGACAAGTAAAATAATAAATCTTGAATCACTTTCAGTTTTTTTAGAATAATAGCTGTTCGGACGGTGGAAAACTTTTCCCCACTCAGATGAAACACGCCATTTTGCGTAACATCTTATTTCTTTTCAGGGTCTGTAAAAGCTTTTAAAAAGTTTTAAGAGGCTTCAACAAACCACGAGGGTTTTAAAGGGTCATCAAAAGGAAGCTTTTGAAATTTGCTTAAGTTTTTAAGAGGGCCTTTATTGTGCCCTAAGAGCCTTGAAGAGTTTTGCTTTAAGAACTTCTAATGGACTGGATTTAGAGTTTTTATGAGTCATTAAACCTTTTGAGAATGACTTATGGTTGTTTGCAGTGACAAATCTCGTGACAAATTTAAGCTGAGCTTAGCCTTACAATCCATGGCAACTATTCTGAATAATTGTTGCTATGGTTTTTCAGGTACACTTAAGCTAAGCTCAGCTTAAATTTGTTGGTGCAAACGGCCCTAAGCCTTCAAAGGGTGCATAATTCATGAGAAGATCTTAAGTTCAAACATTTTTTTTGCGTTGAAGGTGTATCTGGAAAACATAATCTGCGAGGAGGCTTTCGTACTCCTAATTCGTTTGAGTATGCTGTAAATTGTCTCTGGTTACAAGAAGTACATGAGCTTCTAAGCTTAAGAGATATGTTCCAACACTTTATTTTAGTTTAAACCCGTGTTCCAGGAGATGTTTCTGATTCTAATTCGTTAAGTTGATCTTACATATGTTTCTCTGGCTACTGGAAGAACATCCATGAGTAGGTCCTTTTATAAGTTCAAAATAAATGTACAGACACTAAACGCTACGCCGGCTTCTCAACACCGAATCCCTGCAAAAATCTCCTCCGCGTTAATCCCCACCTATCTGTTCGATGTACAAGACGCCGTTTGGCTCGTTCAAGTGTGCAATCTTGCTTTGGTAATGTCCCTTCAATGAAATAATCCGTACCGACATGGTTTTTAAATTTTTCGTTGGCTTTATGAAAAATTAAACTGTGCGTTATACTCTCCTCCTATACGTACATCCGAGAAATTGTAAAAAACAGAATTAGCTCGGCGACAAACAAAGAGTGAAGTGAACGAACCCCACACAGGCTTCAGGAACGGAGTATTAATAATAAATTAATTACACCATTGTTTAAACCTCGCACTGAAGGTAGATTGAAAGTAGGCTGCTTTATATTTTGCAAAGAGTACCTACTACATAATAACTTATATGTTCTAGGAAATGAAACTGCATCGTAAAAGTCGAAAGCGCGTTAAGTATTACATAATGGCGTTTCTTCTGATGTTTTAAAATGTAAAGGGGCGTTCATTACCGCGCGATAGAAGAGTTTTGAAATACATTTTGTGTATAGTTATATCGTTCGTCGCTGCAGGCGGTTAAAGTAGATTTTTTTCTCTCCATCTTTGCATATGTTCGTTATGAAATGCATGCCATTGTGGTACAGATGTTACAAGTTCTTAATCAGGTTAAGTGTCGTTTAAAATGTTTTATTCCAAATACAGTGACAGTTTTCAATGGATAAGTGACGGAAAGTTCAAATTAATCAAGGTAACTAACTAATGAGATTCGCACGCTATGCAAACTCGTATGATGGAAGAGGATAAATTGCACTTTTTACATTGGGAAAGGAATTTAGGTATCTGCAGATCATATCCTGAAAGTACCCCTAGAAATTCCAGGATGTTGAGAATGCACATCCGCTCTTCATATCTTACGTAATTAAAAATTTTTCTCATTATCAATGATCCGTATGTCCGCTTCTTGAATTATGTAATTTTGTTAAATATTTTTAATTAAGGAAACTCAATTAACTTTCAATTTCTTAATTCCGTTTTCGGAGTAAGTTAATGGCAAAATCGCTTACTTTTTCCGTATCATGTAGAAGTAGCGCGTTTGCGAAATCACAGAACCCGCCGATTTCATTCCTCAATCAATTTTGTTAACAGTTTTTTGGCCAGGAATATTTGTCATTTAAATGCAGACCAATGTATCTGAGTTGTTTTTAAAGGTCTCCTATCTTTTACTTTTTTGTGAAACTTTTAATACTACAAACAGAATAAATCTATGTGCGTTTGTTTCTGACATACGGGGTGAAAACGAAAAGTTTGATTTTTTTTATGTTATCTATGTAAGACAGAAAAAAGGTAAAAATCTGACCATTTTAAATACTTTTACGTAAAATCCAGTGCCTTAGCAAAACAATTTTTGGACCACCGTTTCTGAGATTTGACCCATTTTTAAATGCAACACCCTGTAATCTGAGCGTCAATTTTTTTGCATTCTTTTTCCTGATCACATTGATAGTACAAGTTTCACAGCCTATATTTTTTACATTTTAGCTATGAATCAAAAATAAAAACCTTATTTTTTACGGTTTGTAAATAGTAGGCCATGGATTCATGAAGATTTTGTTTTGTTTATTGTACCCATGGCAGCCGATACCAATCAATAAAAATGGCTGCCACTTCAAAATTTTGCAAAATATGATAAGATAATATATAATTAGGTATATAAAAATATAGGTTGTATTACATCAATGTAATCAGGAGAAACCATGCAAAAAATTGACTGTAAGATATACGGGGCGTTGTATTTAAAAATACCTACGGATCAAATCTCAGAAGCGGTGGCCCAAACATGTTTTAACTACGGCACTGGATTTTACGTGAAAACATTGAAAATACACAGTGTTACCTTTTTTTACAATCTCCCATGGATAGTAAGATACTTCCCAAAAAGTCAAAACTTTGAAAAGTTTGACAAAAGAAGTGGCACAGGGTAGCTGAAACCGCAAGTCTATTTTTAAAAACAGTTGAGGTACACTGCAACCTCAAGTAAAATAGGACACACAGTACATGGTGTCTCATTTTCGACATTTTTGTAGGGCAAGTGTTACTTTTGTCAAAAAGTAGTACAGGCATCGTGTGAAATTGTCAATTGCAGAATAACCCTGGTATTGGCTAAGAGATAAAAGTTTCTTTATAAATGCTATGCATAGTTAGCTAAAAAAGTTATCGAATCTAACTTCATTTTGAAAACTTTGTATATTTTAATCTAAGAAGATTCTCTTTTCAAAAATACAACAAAACAAATTCAAAATTGACTCAAAAGTTCAAGGAATAGTTTAAAATAATCAAAAAAATTGAAAAAACTGTTTGAATTTTTTGGATTTTTAAAAATCATTGGAACCTTTTTGCAATTTTTTCTTTTCTTAATCTTTTGAATTCTTTTTTGAATATACTTGGTGTGTTATATTTTTGAAAAGATAATATGCTATCTTTTTACATTAAAATATACAGAGTGCTCATTTAAAAAATGATGTCACATAACTTTGTTACCTAACCCCGTATACATATCTTTTAACTAAGAAACTATAGGGTCATTCTGAAATTGCAAACTTTTTATTTAAGCGTTTTAAGTTGTTCCAAGAAATGCACAGGACGCATATATTATTTTTTTGATAGCAGTAACAATTATGGAAATACCCTATAAAATTCTCGAAGATAGGACACCTGTTCCTAATACAATATACGGAAACGTTAACGTTAACGAAAAAATTATAAGACGTAGGATTATTGGGGGGTTTCATTTAAAGAAATTAAATCGAAACCGACTTTTATTAAATACCAGGCATGTCCAAAAAGGGCTAACGTACCACAAAACCGAGCACAAAACTTTTGTTTAATAAATCTTTTTCCAATCCTGACAATTTGGACGCTATCCGCCGTGTGGGCGTCTACCGATATTTTTTTTAATTTTGCTTGCCTCTTCCGCACAAAGGGTGGATTATAGGGTTCATGTTCAGGTTCAGGTTCAGTTTTACAATAAATACACGAAAACATTTTTTTTCCGTAGCGTTGCGGCGGCATTAGAACAAAACGTGAATATAATGATCTTCTTAGTTGTTAGGACGGTTACCTTTCATGAAAATCACGAACCAGAATTAGTTTTTGGACCACCAAATTTGATTAAATTCTGACCATTTCTGTGTTCAGCGTCGGAGCAAGAAATTCAGTTAGATTTTTTTAAGTTTCAAAAACTAATTTTGGATTCGTAATATAAAATGCTAGTCATTACAGTATGTACTTTTTTTAAGGGCCGAGCGTAAATTGCAAATACCACCAAAATCAGACCAAAAATCTCCGCCTTTGTCTATGTTTGATAGAATCAGAGAGAATTTCGTAACAAACAACATTTTTGTTTCAGAATCACCCCACAAAATCACATAGTACTTGTAGCGATGGATCTCTTCTTAGTATGTGTAGTTCCGATATCGAAGATGTAAGTACTTGAATCGGCGATGACGGCAATGAAAGATTACGTGTGTTTTTAGGATTCCTTTGGACAGCAGTCGTCGAGGAATTCGTCAAAAATATCATTGTCCGAAAAAAAGGTAGCAGATCAAGGTAAGGTTTTCAAAACGTAACTTGTTGCTTCAAACGTGAATGTTAAAGACTCTGAGTGGGAGTTGGGACCAAGCCATGCATCCGCACCCTTAAACCACAGCGCTGCACATCATCGAGTTTCAGTACGGCCGAAACGCACCCACGGAGCACCTAGGCGAAATCGTATACCACCTGTCTGTCAATTTTCCATGTGGCTTAACGAAATTTAACGATCTGGTGTTTCAGATTATGGGGAGCGCGCTTCCAACTACACCAGAGGTAAACGAGGAGGCGTCACTAAGAAGTGTTACGCCAGAGCTATCCAAAGGTACGTGTGCTGCTATTTGTTGGAATGTTTCGTGATAGTATAAAAACTTGCATTTGGCTTATTACTTTGTGAACGTATGGAAAATGTTAATAACTAATCAAAATTTGTCGATGAAAGCGATTGCTTTAGTTTTTATACTGAAAAATTCAATGTAACTGATCGCACTTTTTGAGGGTGTTCTAATTATCCACTGTAGTGAGTTTTCAGTGAATTTATTTATTGTGCAAGATTATCTCTCAAACAAGTCTTGGGGAAAAGTTGCTAATACAATCTTGTGATGTAAGAGAAGCGTGTGTATTAGTTACATTTGAATTCAAATTTAATTGGACGAACTTAAGCGTCCTGCTGTTTTGTACATAATAAAAATACATAAGTAACTACATTACCATATCAACAGATAACGAGGCTTGCTAAGCATGGCATATTTTACTTACAGAGACAGTAACTGAGCTTTACAGTAGCAGCATGAGCAAAAATAGAACTGAAATACAACTAAAATGTTCCTCTTTACCTCCCGGCTTAGCTCCTCCAGGCAATGAAAGCAACAAATTAAGTCGTAGTCGGTCAAGCGCTAGCAGTAAATCGCAAGACACATTTGCCATACTCGGCGAAGAGGAGGAAGATAAAGACGATAAGAAATCGGACAATTCAATCTTCTCTCGGCTATTTCCGCGGCGAAGCGCAAAGAAAAAGAAAGCAAAGTCCGACAATGTTCTGACATCGTACAATAAGCAAGTTATAACAGAAGCAGTGCCAGAGAAGCTAAAGTCTGGACCGGCCTCACGTCAACGAGTTCAACCGATTGATATTCCGCCGTCGCCCGATCAAACTCATCGCGATTTAGAAAAGAGCGGCACTTCTCCTCTACAATTAGAATTAGAAAACCATTTACGGCAAAGAATGACGCTTTCACTCTCCACTAGTCCACTTCCATCTGTCGATACTCCCCCGAAATCGCCTAAAGTACAAGAACTTCGCGTACACCAAAACGTATGGTCGGGAGAAACACGCGTCACCACCACACAAGTCGAAACATTGGAAATCTCTTCCAAAACGAGTGTCGAAGAGAAAAGCAAAATTAAAGTAGTCGAAGAGAGCAAAAGTAAAATGAAGATAGCCGGTTTATCTTCCCTGCAGCAGCGCGTGCTGCAATTGAACGACGAGGAGAACTTCAAGTCGTTGACAGATTTCAGTCATAGTGAAGCGAAAAGCAGTCGGCAAATTACGAAATCTCAAAGCTTTCGAACGACATTAAACGAATCTAACGTTACAGAAAGTGCCACCGATAAAGTGACGGTGGTTAAAACAAATTCGGCGGATAACGTCAAACACGTCGAAATAGTTAAGGCGGAATCCAGCGAAAGTTTAGAATCTGTTTCCTCCGCGCAAACAAACTCGACGGAGTATTTGGATAGTCTCAATCTATCAAATGGCATTACCATTTCGGGACCAAGCCATACGTCTGTCGTTAGCGTCTCTAAAGCTGAAGATAAAGTAAAAGCTCAGCCGATTTTGGTGAAAACGGAGGAAGTGGTAAGCGAAGAGCAACAAGTGTCGATCACGAAAATTCATGTCAAACGCGAGACTGTGCAGAGTGCAAAGGAGTCGACTCCCGAATTCCTGAACGTGCATTTAAATAAAGTAGAGCAACAACCCGCTAGCAACGTTGTCTTAGTGGCCAATTTGAGTAAAGCAGAGGTTGAGAAGCCGGTTTTCAACTTTGATAAACCTCAAATTGAGCATCATAATAGCCAAGATGATATCGACTTACCCTACAAAAGCGTGTCAACCCCTTCAACTCCAAACGTAATTATTACTTCCATGACTCCTCCTCCAATCTCGCGAATGTTAAAAAAACCGCCAGATGCTGCCCAAGTAAGAAAAACCTCCTTGGTCACAACGGATGCGAAACCGAAGCTGAGTTTGCGCACAAAATCGAATAGTCTAGACATCGTGGATTCCTTAAAACAAGACGACTGTGGTCTGATCAACCTGGACAAACCCAGAGTGTTATCCACGACTGACCTTTCCGATGCGACCGTGGTCAGGAGGAAGTCGCTAATTAAACAGAAACAGGACGAAGAGCCGGAGCTGATGAAGGTGTTCGCACGAAGGTCACTAAAAGTGAAGGACGGCGAGGAATTAGCCCAGCAAGTCTTAACTATGATCGAGGACGAAAAGGCGAACAAATCGAAGGAGTGCGACAAAGAAAATCGGGTCGATTGCGCGCCCGAGAAAAAATCTGTAAATAAAGAGCCGGAGAAACTCAAGGAACCGCTAACCGAATCCAAATACGTCGAGACAACCGAGGTGACCCTTCGAAAACCCGCCGTCAATAATAAGATGTTCGCCTATCAGCAAAGAACGATCAGCTTGAACATTCCGAAAGTGAACGAGATTAACAATACGGAGAAGGTACACAAGAAGAGTTTATTTTCGGATAGGCCTAAAACGGAAATCGCAGAGAAGTTATTGAATAAGGCCTGGATTACGACCGTCCGTAAAGATAAGGACGTGGACAATAACGATGAGGTGATTAAGAAAATTTCCCGCGACAGTATTATTACGGAAATCACGTCGAAGAGTGATTTCATTAATGAAGATTTTCCGGCCATTCCGAAAAATTTTAATCAGAGGAAAGCCGAATGGGAAAAAAGGGCGCAGGAAGCTCTTAAGAAGAACGTACCTTAGAGTAAGTGGCATTTTGAAGTGAATGTAAATATTGCTTGGCTACATGCTACATATCTGTCTTGCTTTTCCGCTTTGATCACTGGAAGAGTCCAAGCGGGTTATTGAGTGATAGAGATGAGTTTGTAGGTTTTCCATTTCAGTGAAGTATCACTAAAAAATAAAGTACTTTGTGAATCATCACCGTCACTATCAAATTTCACTTGCTAAATCCATAAAAGAGGCAGAATTTCATGGATTGGATTGGATAGGATTCGGAGGAGGCGGGCCAAGCACCAGAGTCTTTTGTTTTTAGCTTATAACTCAAAAATACATTATTACCTACCTGTTTTAAAGCCTGCAATTTCTATTCTTAGAAAAAGACTACAATGGCTCTCAAGTTTATTAGCTTCAGAAAATCACTATATCAGGTGACTTTTCGGTCAGGTGTTTTATTTCTGTCAGTCAACATTGATATGGTCAACACAATCCAAATTACAACAAAAACTGACTTTTTATGAACTAATTGGTCATACAACTCGATAATTTCAATTGTCACTTATTTTTTTCATTTATTGAATATGCAAAGGCAAGATTAATGTTAACGACCAAACCAGTCTCTGAGAAATAAATTCTATAGTTTCCATGGTAGCCCGCTTGGACCTTTACCTAGTTTTCTTCAGAAATAGCAATAATACTTATATTTTAGGATGTACTATGGGAAGTCTAAAATGGAAATTTTCCCAATTCAAATCCCGTTGCTTGAGAATAAAGTGAGCGAAATAATCGTCGAATGGGGGTCTTTATTCCGGTTGTATAGTTTCCTGTTTTTATTATTGTGTTATTAATTGTAAATATCTAATATTGTAATTACCGTCAACCCATGAATATAGTTTATGTATATTTTAGCATTTGAAGTGATCTTTTCAATATTGGTGCCATGTGATATAATCGGCATTAATATTTAATGGAATTTATTTGTATATTTTTTATTGTTTAGTGTATAAGTGCCTTTTTAATTGTAAAATTAAGTTTTGATTTGTAATTGAAATTTTATAACTTAATAATTTTATGTTTGACCAATGGAAAGCCTTGCGAGAGTGGTGCTTGTAAAATCTACTTTTAAAAAAGCTCTAAAATATGTTTTGAGTGTATTATACATTGTGTAAACACGTATAACATACTTGGATATTAATGTTGTCATACTGCAATAAAATATATTGTTATTAAGTGATTTTGCCCTCTGTTTCTTTTCATTTTTATTGGATTTTTCCCATCCTGATTAGCTGGGAATATTGTTGCATCTTCTATTTTGCATTTTCCAACCATATTTAAGCTGCTACTATGGCAGTAGTCTCCATATGTATACATTAAAAAAATTCCTTGTATAATTCTGATGTGCATTACTACATGCATTACTTTTTTGGGGAAGGGGCCTACGAATTTTTTTGTGTTATTAAAAATCGAGATTTTTAAACGGCGACCCACAATTTCTTTTTATGTTTAACAAATATAGTAATATTAGTGACCAATTCGATGCATGCCAGGTGTTATCGAAAGCACCCTGTATATCCTTGGTTAGGGCCGCCTCTTTTGACATGAGCACTTTTTCAAGTTTGTATGTACGACCGTGATTGGCCATTAAATTTTTGATAGGCGTGTTTATTTATTTTATTTATTTATTATCCCTCTTGTTCTGGGCCCTCAACAGGCTTGCGCCCAATTACAGAGTGATCCGTATAATGCTTTGTGTTGCGGGTGAAGTGGATGTTTTGTTAGAACCTCGCTTCTCGGGAATTGATGACTTTAGGGAGGTCGACTGAGCGCCTTGATCCTTTTGCTCCTGTGACGTTCTGGATATCTAAGCTAAATAGAAGCTGGGTCTGTAGAGCATACATATAGTTTACAGTATCTGTCCAACAACCTTTTGGAAGGGTGCTGGCGGGTCCCGTCTCCACCAGGCGTATTAGGGCCCATTCTACTGTGTCATGTGCGAACATATTTGAGGCTTCGTTTTTAACTCTGGAGTGAGGTCCTTCTGGTCGTCTGCCTCTATCTGTTGAAGAGAAACCTTTACTTTGTGAGCCTGGAAGATGTGTGCTTAGAATATTCTTTTACCATGCTAGAAATGGTATGTGAATATTCCAAATATGCATAGAACGTTCTATAAATATATTCGTTCGTCTGACATATTTCAAAGATATTCAGCAATACTGATGAAAACACGTCAACAATATGTTCCTTAAATTATTCAGTATATTCCGTTACAAAATTTCCTTCATCAGAATCAGAAGCTGTTCTTCATCATCCATATCACGCAGAATATCACGTTTTAGAGTTTGACTGTAAACAAAGCAAAAAATCTGATACAACTAAATACCGAAAGATCCTCGAGATCTTCACGCGTCCATCATTTTTACAACACACCTTAAGACCTTGATTATGTCCCACCAGATCAGCATAGCTTGTAGAACTAATTCTTTAAATCTGCATAAGTTTTACTTTTATTCAAGACTATACATACAAAATTTCATTTAAATATCTTAACAAATAAAAGATTGAATTGTGCAAACACATTTTGGGTGCATGCTCAAAATTTTTTTGGAAGTTTGATCTAACTTTTTGACCTAATAGTCTACGTAGCGACCTTTTTGTATATTCTGAAGAACATGTGTATACCAATTTTCAAAGCAATTGGACTTTTCTCCTGCAGACCGGCAGACAGACAACAATACAAAACAAGGACTACTAGATCATCTCAACACTTTTTGGTGGCCATTTCATTAATTGCGTGTTAATTATTATTTCATAACTTGCGGACCTTTACTAGAATTATTTTGCATGTTAATGTAGATTACGATTTGAACTTAAGACACTGGGGGCGCGCATGTCTGAAGCATTTTTGTATGTTTGCTTTTCAAAAAAATGTACAACCTACAAATAGCCTAATGTCCGACTCTGCTGAATGGGGTAGGCATTTTTCTGAAAAAAATCTTTTCGTAGCAAAGAATCGAACCCGAGCCGTCCGGGTACCCTAACCACTAGCGGCACTAGCTAGACTATTGTCGCCAGAGAGTTGTTACAATTCTCTGATTGTGCCACACATTTAAATCGTGACTGAATTGAATTTGTATTTCATTCAAATTCAAATTCAAAATATATGGGGAAAAGGTGACGTCACTTTTCGCATGCTCAGTGAATAGTACGGCGTGGACGATTTAGATAACAGTGTATGGCCAATCTTAGGGACTAAGTTTCCCCTAGAACTCAAGTTAGTAACTTTAATTATGCACTTGTTCTTGGTTGGTTTTTTAGTGCAATAAAAACAGAAGGGGATTAAACTCTTGTGGCATTTTATTAATGATACTGACGAGAGGTGACTCACCGCACCCTTCACCGAACGTGTTCACGATGACTGTTTTGTGACCGGAAGTGAACTAATGGATGCATAATTGCTGTTTAAACCCGTAGGGGCGTGTTATTGAGTGGACTGTGTGGTGATATTGAGTGATGCAACGATGCTGTTGCAAGAGAATCCCTACAGTTCTTTAATTGTAACGCTTGATTGCTCAAATTAACAAATATCCATTTCAGAGGTAATGTAATAAATCATAACAAATACCTAAGAAGTACAAGATGGACGAGGGTATGTTAAACGACCTCCTCGAATGCTCGGTCTGTTTGGAGCGTTTGGACACCTCCAGCAAAGTGCTACCGTGCCAACACACATTCTGCAAGCGATGCTTAGAGGGAATCGTCGATCGACACAAAGAACTTCGCTGCCCCGAATGCAGAACTTTAGTTCCTTGCAAAATCGAGGAATTACCACCGAATGTTCTTCTAATGCGAATTCTGGAAGGCATGCGAAATGCCTTACCCAAAAAAGAGCAACAGAGACTAATCAGGGTGGTACACCCCGCGACACCCATACATCAGTTACCCGAGCAGCATCGGCGAGCTGCCGACAAGCAAGTTCTTCAACATCACGTCCCACAAACCCACCAGCCCTACGCCAAAGCGATGTATGATTATTCATCAAAGGTCCCCGAGTATGTATTAAATTGATTTTTTTATCTACTTCCTTATTGCCATTGTTATAAGCCGCATAAAATTAATATTCCCCGCAGCTTTGTATTTCCGATAATATTTTTTTCTAAGAACCAAGTACTTTGTGAATAATTAAACTGAAAGTGACACGGTGTTGGCATAAAAAATTGGTAGGTTGTAGCAATATGATTGCGCACATCCCCAAGGTATACACCTCGGGATACACCATTGTAAAACGAGTATGAATCAGACAATTAGAAAAAAAATTATTATTAATGTGGTTTGAAGTCCGTAACAGTGTATAATGCAATCAAATTGTCTGCTTTTCACTAAACCGACATCTATTTCGCTGAAATTTTTTATATTTGTACACTTTGTACGGAATTCAATAATACTAGATAACTGGGACAAGCAATTTCGAATGTTCCTAATCTTCCACATACCAAGGGTCAAATTATCCTCTAGTTTTTTAATTTGAAGTGTTACTTTGCGCAATTTAAATTGAATATAGAACTATTTTTAATTTAACCAATCAAAATTCAGTATACTGGTTAACTCTGAGGTTAATTGATTTGACAATTTCAGTCATCTTTTTAATGTAAAATAAATTATGTACTAACAATTTAGAAATTTCATCATCAGATTCCACATGGGTAGTTCGAGAGGTTGGTACCATGGTAACATTTCAGTTTTATTATTTATTCACCATGCGCAATCAATTGTGTGTTGTGTGTTTCACATTGGAATCAGATTTGCTTAATTGCAATCACCCTGTATAATAATTGCCAATTTTTTGTGGTCACTACTTATCAGATCTATGAAAAGATATCAGGAGTATGTTATCCAACCAGTATTGTCCAAAGGTTTGCAGGATTTGGTCTAAAATCGTAGGAAACAAAATGAACTTCCTCACATCAAGTTGTAGTCCACTTACCTCCTGTGCATTAATTAAAATTTGTATGATACTCAAAAGGGCACAAACTAGAAATTTTGTTATTATTTTTGGATAGATTTTACCTCAGATTTTACCCTACAGCTCGTTGACAACCTGTGCACTGTGAGTGTTGAGTGGTAGCCGAAGTGGTAGCACTATTCTGAATCATCAGCTTCATATTGTGTTTGTAAATTATAAATCTACAACGTGTTCCATTAAATTAAATTCTTAGACAAAAAAGGAAGAGCTTAAAAATCTTTGGATAGAACGCGCAGGTGTACGGATGGTATCTGTGCCAGCCACAGAAAATTTTTTCTGAATCATGTTACTCTTAATACATAAGGTATGGGTAAAATCAGTAGTAGGCTCTGGTAAAATCCTTTCCCTTAATCTCAGCTGAAATTTGTTTCTTTTACTTCCACTATCCCCCCCAAGCAGAACAACGAGCGAAAGTGCGACAGCGTCGCAAAAAAACAAAAAGGATTGCTACAGAAAGATTAAACAATTGGATGTTGGATTATGCTCCCAAGGTCACACCTCGACGCCAGTCAGCCTGTGCCGCCCATTCATAAATAGCAAACGCGTTTTCCTTTCGGAAAAATTCGCAGCATTTTTGTACAACTTTGCTTTTCCAAAAAAATTGAAAAAAGTGGGGAAGGGTCCATTTTCGCATGCAGGCGGACACGTCTACCGTTTAAAAAAATACATCCCCGCCCGGCCGATCAGTGACTGCAGTTCGTAATGCTTTTTTTCTGCATTGACAATAACAAATTTGGCAAAATCCAGAGAGCCTGTAGTTTGTTCACTTTGTTTCAAGAAAGTGATTTAAAAAAAACTCAGAACTGATGTTGCGAGGCACCATTCTGGCGTACTTACTTGGAGAAAGTTTGAGGACATTATTGTTGAAACCTTAAAAACATTCTGCCTCTCATTCTGCTTTGGGGGTTCCACCAACAGAATCCAAAACAATTCGTACTTTTTCGATCAGATTTCTCAATCAAAAGTTATAGACTAGAAACCAATTTCGAAAAAAAATTCAAAGGGCTGTAACTTTTGAACTAGTAGCCTAATCTTGGAACTGTTTGAAATTATGGATTCTACAGGCCACATTCTATAAGAAAATTTTTTTTCCGGGTCGATCTG